CCTTTTAATTGCTCCTCAACAGTTACCGATCCCCTCCTGACGTACTCAGACATACACACACAAACAATGCCACAATCAATCATTTCGCTTCTAGATAATGCACATTACCGCCTATCAAGATTTGTACATACCTTCGCTCGTGTGCCTTGATCTGTGCCGTCTTAATCGTCTTGAGTGTGTCCCACACCTCAAAATTGCAACTATCATATCCTGCAAACACCAATCGTCCAGATTTGGAGAATGCTACCGCAGTCACACCTATAGTCCAAGTAAACGAGCGATTAATACACCAGCCAGCCAAATTAACCTGAACCTTGAGAAATATATAATTCTTCTGAGCATCACGGCGAATTTTCACACAGTAAGATAGCAATTACTCCGAACAAGTGAGAGGAACTCCCCAAATCGCCGTGGGGTCTAAACAATCTCCCGTCTAGACATAACCACCGAGATGAAAATGGAACATACGCGTCAATTCTCATAACGAAACTCAAACAGGGACAAGCAGACGATTAGAAAACACGTGTGTGCATTGAACGGTGCGTCAATCAACATACCACACAGGTTGGACTCATCCACATAGCATGCCACCTCGGCGTCTGCGCGCACATCGTATAACCGACAGCTCGCATCATCCGAACCCGTCAGGAATGCATTGCCGCCCGGGAAGGACGCGATGGTGTTGATATCCGATTCATGGCCCGTGAAGGTCTGCACACACTTGCCTGCACGAAGATCCCAGCGTTTGGCTGAAGTGACGGAAAGAAGGGATTCAGGTGAGTGTTTTGAGGAATAGTGCATATACGCGAGTTTGCGTTCGTGCGTATTCGCGATTTGGTGCTGCGTATGGGTGAGCATACGCGGCATATGGGTATTTGTCCGGAAGCTGGTTATGTTTGTAATCACTAGTTCGTATTTAACATATTTTTTTCATTAAATAGATTATGGAGAACGCCAGTGAAAATACAGAGACAAATCAGAAAGACAAATAGGAACCACAATTAAATCATAGTCGAATCGCTCGTATAGTTTTAGAGTCCCTTGGCGGAATTCGATACATCCTATTTACAGCTCATGAAATGCTTGAGACTATTCGACAAGATATAGCACACCCCTTACTCTTACACATGCTCTTGGAGAAACTTGGGCAGTGATGGAGGATTTAGACCACACCCAACAGCTCATCAGAGTGTACCGATGATCGAATGTTCGTACCGCAATAACCATTCACATACACCCCGATACTAGATACATCGGAATTCGCGTGCCCGAAAAACTTATGAAGTTAAGTGCAAATTTCAAATCAATTTCAGTACAAAGTGGGCGGTGCCAATCCCAAGCAATACACTTTCAGTCTAGCTCCTGGCGAAAGTGAAACATACCCTGCGCGTCGCAAGCTCCGGAGTAGAAGGTGTTGGGATCTGAGTCGAGTGAGATGTACATGACATCTCCTGTGTGGCCCTTGAATTGTGACTTCAGTTGTCCACTCTCAATGTCCCAAAGAGCACAGGTCATGTCACCTGACGACGTCAATATTTCCTTGTCACTGTGAATGTGCGGGTGGTAGTCTGTCAGGAATGTGATATCGAAAGGAAGTGATACAATACAACTGGTCTGAGCGAGCAGTGACAACGGTGGTCTCAAACAATATATGATCTTATTGTATATTTCGAAGAATCGCTTCACGCTATACATACGCTCGGATAATTATTTCAATTGAGTGTCATATGTCGATAATTCAGTATTGTATGTGTGTGTGTGTGTGTGTGTGTGCATATGTGTGTGGAGTTTGGCGTAGGTAGTAAAGTGGGGGTTGCGCAGAGTGTCTTAAAAAAGGCAAGACCCGCTTCCATCAAATCCTGGCCTTATTCGCTCACACTCGCGCAAAGATTAATTCGAATGTGGCATTAAAATGGACATACAAGTGTCGAAATATGCCAATATACGTTGAGCTGGTCAGTATTACGGAAACAACCACATACAATACCAAAAAAAAACAACCAAAAAACACGACTACAAAGAACGATACACATTATAATCGGGTCCCTACGGGGCAGTAGTACGCCTGTTGGTTTAGAGTTTTGGGAGGTTTAAAACCTCGTGCTGAACTACAATGACGTGTGCCCAGTACACCCTACCATGAACTACACACAAATATACACATACTCGAGGGTGCATGTACATTTCTACATGCACACATACTTAAGGAAGCGGCAGCAGGAAAGGTAACCCTTGTGGTAGCTCAGTTCACGACTGACGCGCGAGGGCCCTTCCTTTGCTCTTAGGTTGTAGATAGAGCACAGATTGTCCAGTCCTCCACAAGCCACCATTCCTCCTGACGGGGAGTATGCGCAAGTCATGACCCACGACGACCGAAGGGGGATAGCATGCACCTGGTAGGAGCGATGCGGGAAGTGAGATGACATTCGTGCAGGAAGTCGAATATACAGGCACAGAGGCACCGAAGACAGGCCAGTATACACGCATCCGAACAAACACAAACACAAACACAAACACAAACGTACACACACACAAATAAATATGATATGTGTATATGTTCTGATGTGCGCAGCTATTGAAAATCGCGAAAGTTTTATTAGCGAAGTGCAACAAAAACCTCGTCAAAACCCGTTCGCAACCGACAGCACATGAGAACTTCAGGAGTGTGTATGTGAGTACTACACATGTGCGTATGTGTTTAGGATACCACGAAAGCAAATCAGTGGTGTATTCGAGCTCACGAGACGATTGAAATGCTACACACGCGATTTTACCCATCTATTCTCGCGCATGCATATATATTAAGTACACTTATGTGTACGGCATATGTGCGAACCAACTCCGACGCGATCATCTGATCCTATATCGGGGCGGTGGCAAAAGCACAGAACCCGCACTATGAACCTAACGCCACATGACTACATGCGTACTCTGCACACTACTGGACATGACATGTTTCATTCGCACATACACCCATTTGATATGCAATCTGGGGGTTTCAAATTACACCGGACGGATTCCCACTAAATACGAAACACCACAGAGTATAGGATCCAACACAGTCTACGTCTGAATATACGTGAACTAGGCCCCACACGCCCAGCCTTTGCGAGGGAGTAGCCAAGGAAGATGCTCACCTTATTCTCGGAGTACGCGTCCCAGACTATCAGCTTGCCATCTTGTGATGCGCTCACTAGGTGCCGGCTGTCTTCTGACCAGTGTATGGCATAGATCTTGGCCAAGTGCCCGCGTAGCATGCGTCGTTGCCTCATGTTGAACTTCTGTAACACTGCCACATCTGAGAGCAAAAGTAGAGGTAGGTGTGGTAGATTGAGTATCTGAGCTAGAGACAAAACCACAAAACCGAATTCTCGATATAAACACACACACACACACATATATATATTTGTATATATATATATGTAATATATGCATATATAATACAGGCACAGCCCTAAATATCATAGTATATATATAATCATATATATTAATATAATATAAAAAAATAATAAGAATATAAGAATATAATAATGTATATGTATGTATTTATGTATGTATACACACACACACACACACACATATATATATATGTATATATACATCTATATACACACACATACAAATATATTATAATTACGAGAAAATCTATTATTTAGTATATATAGAGATATATACATATACTTCCGGTCCAGCCTTGACTTTATTGTCTAAGAGTTTGTAAATATCAATTGACCAACAAATACCACTTAAAGTTGTGTTCGCGTGTAGGTACGCTCAGCAACCTTGAAAGTCTTTGTAAGTATGAAACGGGCATGCTATGACACGTACATAAATTGAGATACCAGCTGTGAAATTACGAATATATATAGATAATGAACTTCATAAGGCAAATAGGCTGCGTGGGTGCATATGCATATACATGGACAACTATAGATAGTGAAATACATGCAAGTACACCGAATTCTTCATCAATTTCTATATCAATAGATGCAAATGTACTTTTCTATGCAACATTCGTAGGTACAGATTATATACCAATATATTGAAGACGATTAAACAGAACACACACATGACTTCCATTGTGCACATGTTGTGCATACACTAGAATTGTACTTAAATATATACAGAAAGAGAAATAAAACTAGAATTGACAAAATATATACAGAAAGAATGAAGCTAGAATGACATAAATATATACTGAAAGAGAAATGAATGCTTATAAAGGTAATAACGTACGACTACCCTATCTAATTATAGCCAATAAAACAAAATTTGACTGATACATGCACATCGCATGTTAAAGTTCAAAGGACAATTCTTATATTGGACATCATCAGAGGGTCATACATGGTGAATAGGTTGCCAAAGATGTACAGATTAACGGATATGCGCAGTAAGATGAGCACAGCGTACACATGAACCGTAACTAATCTCGAATAAATTCATACAACACTTGATCGACACTTACCACACACATGCAAACATGCAGATAAACATAGACGAGGATACAACATGTTATATAAGGAGTGTATGTCTGGTTAGCAGTCGTTTACAAATATACATACACGCAGTTGTCTGATTCATGCAAGCCGCGTATTTTTCTGCAACTGTATACATAAATGAAGCTTCGGTACCATCTGAGCAAAGCCAGAGGACAACGTAACCAAGCACTACAGTAAAATTGACGCTGGTTCACTTTCGGTGCACAGAAACAGGCAAACAAAAGTTGACTTAAAAATAAACACGCGACGGTGACAAT